ATACAAGAAACCTCCATACTCAAAAGTCTGATCATTGAGCACTGCGCTGTGCAGGACACACAAGCAGAAGCTGGCAGAGGTGGGCGCTAGGTCACAATATGCCCATCCCACTGCCGAATCCCAAATATCCCAAAATATGCCCATCCCACTGCGCAAATGAGCACTTTATTTTCAGTTTCAGGATATCTGGCAACATTCTCAAAAGAAATAATCATTTTGTCCTTCTGAAGAGTTCAACTGTCTGGCAAAAGTAACAGACTTAAAAACACTTGAAAGTTTGTCTCCTCATCATCCTGATAAGAGCTATAACCCAAGACTTTAACCTTGGAAGCTGTCAATGGTATAGAAGCTTTTTGCTTTTCTTTAGTTTAGTGACTCATTTAACATAATTACACTTATTAATCCAAAGCTCTAACCTGAGATTTTCTCCTCTCACAAGCCCCTGCTATTTACCCCAGAAGCCATTCAGGGAACAGTGTAGGTCTCTTCATAGGAGATTCATTTAAAAATTCAACTAATATTGACTGACCACCTACTATGTGCCAGATACTCCTCAAAGCATTTAGAATGTAACATGAACAAAAGAGACTGGAATTTAATAAAAGACTACAGGAACTGTCACTTTTGGTTTCATAATTCAAACCTGATCTTAGGTAGACCGTATCAGTTGAAATTACTGTATACATGGCAATCTTTTTTGCAGTTTCACTCGGTTGTAGAGGACACTGCTCAAAACTGAGCAGAGTATGGTATTTCCCCACAGCAGAGTTAGGTTAAATGGCACCCTTATGGGATTGTTAGAATTTTCTTCAAAATGTTTTCACTCATGCTCAAGAAGTGGTTTATCTATCATGCAATATCTAGCCAGTGATCATACTCTTAAAAAATCAGATTGGGCTATCAAGGAATATGTAAAAAAATAAAATAAAATCTGAGCTTGATTAATATACTTAAACTCCTATGTATAATCTCAATTTAGTAGGAGACAGTAAGCTGATCATGCTAGAGTGCTCGTCTTCCTTTCAGAGCAGGTTTCCATGTGGCAATGTGTTTTGAAGTATTACAAGGAACTGTGTGGTTTGAAAGAACTGATGTTGCTCTAAAAAGTAAACAATTTATATTTCCATTTTCAGCCACAGGTACTTCTTTTATTAGAATTGCTCCTTATTTTTTCTTCCAATAAAAAGGCAATGAGTTATTTCCAGCTCACACTCACAGCTGCATTGTTATCTGCTTCCTTTTGTAGTTATTACAGGCTAGAAATTTTCAACTCACCACTACTTCTTGAGGATTTAATATACGTGGTTATCGATGGACTATTTTTCTAACATAAAAGATTATAATATAGCACCTTCATTTTTAGCACATTCATCAGGTGGGTAGTTAGGCTTAAGATTAACCCTTATGTACATCTGCTTTTTAAAAATAACTATTCTAAATGGGAAAAGTCAAAGAATAGAGTCTCGGTCTGCAATTCCTACATAAGAATTCCGCCTCTATTACCTAAGGTCGAGATTTTTGTCAAGAAGTAACAATGAACAACTATATAGTGCTTTATAGTTAAAAGTGTTTACACAGATTATCTTTTAATTTAAGTACTACAAAATGTTGTCCAGTGGCTATTATTACATGGAGGAGAGAGTGGTTTGGCTGAGGTACTGGGTAAAAGTATCTCTACTTACCAGATAGGTAACCAGAGGCTTGACTACCTCAAGATGGAACATCTGTGAGGAGGCACAGATAGGTGTCAAGAGGTCATTGTATAATTTTCTATGAATTATAAAGGGCTCTCATACAAATACATAGTGAGCACATGTCAAAGATTTATTTAGCTCATTAATGAGTAGGCCAGCAGAATGACAAACCCAGCTCAAAGATGACACGAGAAACGAATACACACATGCATACACGCACACAGTGGGGAAGAGTGCTGGATGGAGACCACACAGGTCACTGTAAAAACATGATAATGCCCTACAAGACAGGAATCCATAACTCTCAGAGTTCCCTTTTCTACCAACAAGAAAACCTTTGCAACTTAATCTTCTCTAAGTTACTTAACATTTAACTTTAGAATGGGCGATGGAGTGGCTCAATCGGTGAAGCATCCAACTCTTGATTTTGGCTCAGGTCATGATCTTAGGGTCCTGGGATCGCTCCCTACTGAGCAGGGTGCCTGTTTGTCTCTCCTTCCCTTTGCCCCTCCCCCTCTAGCACGTGCTCTCAAATAAAAAAAAATGCATCTTTTTTTTTTTTTTAAAAAGTCTAACTTTAGTGGGGCTGTGTCCTAATGACCAGTAAGTACTAAGTCAGAGTTACCTCCTCTGGAGATGGGATCAGCAAACTTTTTCTATATAAGGCCAGATAGCAAGTATTTCAGGTGGCACAAGCTATTTGGTCTCTGCCATAACTACTCAACTCTGTTTCTGTCAAATGAAAGCAGCCATAGGCAATAAATACTGGATGAGCATGGGGCATTCCAGTAAGGCTGGCTGACATGAAACAGGTGGGGGGCTGGATTTAACCCCTAGGACATAATTTGCTAATCTTCCTGTCTTAGAACATCAGGTGATCCTTGGGTGCCCCATTAGACAATCCTCTAAGTACCCCTTCACTTTTATTTTTAAAGAGTTTATTTATTCATGAGAGACACACACAGAGAGGCAGAGACATAGGCAGAGGGAGAAGCAGGCTCCCTGTGGGGAGGCTGATGTGGGACTTAATTCCAGGACTCCGGGATCATGCCCTGAGCCAAAGGCAGATGCTCAACCACTGAGCCACCCAGGTGCCCCTAAGTACCACTTTAAAGTGACCTGCAGTAATCTTTTTGCTTTATTTCCAAATTTTAGATAATTTTAAAAAACATATCCAGATCTTCAAACAATAAACCCCATGCTTTTCCCTCACTGCAAAGGAGAGCTCACCTTGTTTTCTCTTTGAGGCACACTCAGTCTTTGGAGTTCAGTTAAACAAAATAAGACTCTATTTTTTAAAGGACATTAAAACTATTAGGAAGAGTGTGTTTCTCAATTTTTCTGTCTTTGGTTTGCTTGGTTTGGGAAAATAGTCTTCAAACTAACTACCTATCCCTTTTTTTGCTGCCTTAAGGAATGCTCATTAGGACCAATGAGAAGCCTAACACTAATGAGAAACCACTGAGGCCTTCTGAACTACGTGATGGCAGGTGGACACTCACAGGATGGAGGACCGCCCATGTGGAGGCTTGGTCATGATAGTGTCACAGAGGGGACAGAAACCATGTACCACCTACAGGACCAACTATCTATAAGATCTAAGAAAAGCAGAGGGGGTACCCGGCTTTGGGTCATCCAAAAAGCTACTTCATTCAAGGTATGTTTAAAAAAGAAGACAAGTTGAACAATCCTTTTTAATACAGTGGAAATTATCTGATTTCTCAGGAAAACCTGTGTCCTGATTTCTGTTAAGTTGAAGAGGCAGGCTCAGTATACACGCCTATATTGAGCTCATGAGTCTCATCCCTAACAGAAGACTGCCACAGAGCAAAATGCTGGAAGCATAATCCTTATAACAGGTTTTGTTTAATTCAAGTATTTATTATGTACCTATTGTGGGATAAATACCGTTATAGACACTGCAGTTACAAAGTAGAACACAACCCAGACCTTATTCTTAAAAAGCTTAAAAAGCTTCTAAAGCACCTGGGTGGCTCAGTCAATTAAGTATCTGCCTTGGGCTTAGATCATGATCCCAGGGTCCTGGGATTGAGTCTTACGTCAGGCTCCCTGCTCAGCTGGCAGTCTGCTTTTCCCTCTGCCCCTCCCTCAACTAAACGTGCATGCTTGCTTGCTCTATGTCAAATAAATAAAAATCTTAAAAAAGAAAAAAAAACTTTTTTTAAAAAAGCTTAGTTTATTAGGGGACAAATAGGGCACTACATGTAATAATAGCCATATGTAGTAAATGCTGTAAAGGGCAGAGTACTTGGGCAGATATGAAGGAGGAAAAAGACTCAATCAAGCGGAATGGTCAGCAATGCCTAATAGACAAAGAAAACCAAAAAAGCACGATGGGTCTGCTTAATTTTATAACATCAAATCAAGTCTAAAAATTAAAAGACAAATAATATATCCAGGTAGTAAGATGAGCAGCTGAGAGTCAGGAGGAAATGGGAATGAAGGCACTGATTAGATGATTTATTACTAACAGTTTCTGCAGAAGTAACGCTCACTACAGAGATCTTTCCCATCTACCTCACTACTCAATGGCCTCTGGTAGATTTAAATTATCTTTTAACTCTGTTTCTGTTCTGAAATAGCCACTCCATGTCTGCAAGTGATCATGCCTTCCTCCTGCCAGCTGGTTTCCTAATTTTTAAGTTTCTAGAAACTTATAAACAAAAGAAAATCTATCGATAAAAACAACTTGATATCATGTGATGTGTTGACACATGAAAGGAATCCCGTTGTTGCTTAACCAAGATCATATTTCTATTCTTAAATATTTTTCTATTAGGAAACAAAGTTTGTGTATGTTTGAATACCTTTGAATAGTTTACGCTTAAAATAAAGTTTCACATACTATTTTTAGAAATGTACATACAACACATTATTTCTACTTTTTAATTTATAGAGTGATAAGTTAACCTATAAATAAGAAATCCATCTAACAAATTCTGATCCAAAATGTGGTTTACTACAAAATTTCAGGGAGTTTAAGAGCAAGAAAAGCAATTAAAAGAGTGGTAAAAAGAAAAAGAAGAAAATGATGCAAAAACATATAATGAATCCAAGTTCCCCATTAGAAAACATTTTTTCAAACGAAATGTAACTGTTCTAGTAAATGCTAAATGACTATAATAGAAGCCACATGGATCACCATGATACTTAAATAGTTATAAAGAAAATAAGAAAACTGTCCTTTAAGACAAATTAGACAACATTTTCACAGCAAAAGTTAGGCAAAAGGTTTTCAAAATTCTTAGAATTGTTCATTTGAAAAACTAATTCAGCAGTTCTGAATTATGTAATTACAGGTTGGTTTTATTTGTGAAAACCAAATACAATATTAAATGTTAGCATGTAACCAACAATTATATATACTATTACACCAAAGGAAGCTGCCTTTCTTGATGGCAAAATGCAGAGAAATGTAAACTAAAATTATACAGCATTGAAAGGGAACCTACCATTATTCCCTCTCATTTTAAACAACTGTCAGGAAGAAAACTGTTGGGAGTTACAGAATAAAACCAATGAACCATCATAATAAAGAAGACACAGAATCTTTCAAAATTCAATGTAAGAGCAAAATCCAGCCCTTCTTTAAAAGTTTGGAACACTTTAGTTAAAAGGCTGGTTTTCTCAGGCAATAATGTGCCAATAAGCTAACTTGAAAATAATGGTTACTGTGGTGGCTTTAAATCATGTCTGCAAGTTCCCGGACACCCTCTTCAGGTGATGGGCCAGACTCAGTACCTCACTCCTAATGAAAAGAACAGGCAGAAATGATGCTGTGTGACTTTTATACCTAGTGCACACCTGGCACAGGCCTCCCTCTCACAGTGCTGGCTCGCAGAAACCAGCTACCATGCTGTGAGGAAGCCCAGAGACTTTTCACTGAATCAAAACTCTGAAATATTTATTTAGAAGGCAACAATAATCTTTGAAATTTGAGCAATTAGTTATGTCAATTTAATTATTGCTATAAATAAGATATTCATAATTTCTCTAGTTTCAATTTGAACATATAACTTGTAATAAGAAGATTCGAGTTCTAGTACATTATCTTCTAATTTGCTCTATTGCTCCAGACAAGCCATGTTAGATCTCTGCCTTCACCCACATCTAACAGGGAAAATAATACCTTTTATTAACCTAACTTACCGGTAATTAGACATAAGACTTATGTGAAAACATCTTGCTAGCAAACATAAGGTATAATATGTATGATTCTAGAATAGTAACTATTTTCTAATATTTGATTTGCTTTTTATAATTTAACCAAAATAAACATGGCATACTTTGAAATCTATAAAATGTAGTAGTAATGTAAGGTCGATTAAAGTGGTATAGCTAATAATCATAATAAACCCCTTCACCCATGTTCTCATGTAATTACATTAAGAAATAATAATTATAAAAATAGGTAAAATTTTGTGAAAATATTCCGATTTATTCTAGTTTAGGAGTTCTTGCCCACATCAACAGATTGTCTGGCATCAGCCACAACATCAGGTACCCGAACCGTCATGTTGTCCATAGCCTTTGTCAAGCAGACTTGGCAGCCCAATCGAGATCTGCAGAAAAAAGCGAGAAGTATGGTTTAGGATTCAGTATGTGTTACTCACAAGGGACTACAGTTGATGATAGGACATTTTCTTACCCAAAGCAGTTAGGGATTTACTTACCTTTTCAATTTCCATTACATCAAAAACATACACCCAACAGTTTCATAACTAGAGGGTAACAGAAGGTAAATGTGACCAACAAAAAGCCCATCTTCAGTTTCCAGCGTCTACTACAACTACTGTTTTTTGGTGAAAGGGCTGACAAGCAATGAAATAATCAGAAGGCATGACAATGAAGAGAAGAGAGGTTTGAGCAATACCAAGAGAATGATTCATCAATCCCCAGAGCGTTGAGACCTATGGACTATAGAAGAAAGCTTATCCTTTTTAAAGCTTTTAAAACAAGAAATTTGAAATAGAGACTTAAGTCATTAATTATCAAATGAATATTTTTTGCCACATTTTTTAACATCTCTGAAATTGAGATGCATCTTAAAATCAATGGCTTCTTACAATCCCAGCTGCACTGGGAGGTGGCGGTCACATCAGAGCCATGAACTCAGTGACTATGTTTGATAGATGTCTCTCCAACTGAGTTATGGGAAGGATGTTAATACTACCTGTGTGAAATAAGTCCAAAAAGTCTATGAAAATTAAGAATACAAAATATACATAGCAGGACATAAACCTGATATTAGTAAAGCAAATATTTGTCATTGGAAGAAGAACTATAATTCCATTTTCTTTTTTTTTTTCAGAATTACTACCATTTTACTTATATTTTACTTTTTTAACAGTGATGTGCAAATCTATGTCAGATAAGTATAAATAGCTCTTTTAATATGCACAAAATGTTAAGTGATAACTTTGTACCAGTATTTTAATCAGCAGTCCTTTTGTCTTTCTTAGAGGCCCATAAAACCAAATATATTAATGTTACAGTCAAATTGTCTACAATTGGATGGAATATGGCATGCAGGTCTTGGTTTCATTAATGTATCCATCAAGCATTTACTGAGCATCTAAAGGCCCAGCATTAAATGTCAGTGGGTATGCAAAGAACAGCAACTCACTTCCATCACTGAACACTTTTATGTGCTGGGTGCCAGGGATGCAGCAAGGAGGCAGCGTCAGGCTCAGGGCCAACCAACCAATGGTCCAGAATCCAGCACTGAACATGACATATTCACAGGCAACTTTCTTAACCCTGCCACCACATACTAGTTTCCTCACCTAATCCTAAAGATGAAGAATAAGCAGGTTCCTCATAGGACTGCTGTGGGAATTAATTACCAAATATCAGTATGAAGGAGAGAATTTTCAATCAAATAGAAGAAATGAGATACATCTGCACATAATTAACATGTGAGATCATGACCAATATCACAGAGAGAAAGCGAGAGGGATGCCTGGGTAGTTCCGTGGTTGAGCGTCTGCCTTCAACTCAGGTCGTGATCCCAGGGTTCTGGGACTGAGTTCCACCAGGAACCTGCTCCTCCCTCTGCCTGTGTCTCTGCCTCTCTCTATGTGTCTCTCATGAATAAATAAGTAAAATCTTTAAAAAAAAAAAAAAAAAGAAAGAAAGAAAGCCAGAGGATCTGAGAAGAAAACACTTACTTCTGGCCAGGGGAGATGGGGGAGATGGTGCTTAGAATGGGCTTTAAACAATGGGAAGGATATGACACATAATAAAAGATAATGGAGAGAAGCATTTGAGGCAAAGGGATTCAAGGCACATTTGAGACAATATGGGACTTCAGCTTGGCTTGGCTACTATGTAGGGAGGGTGATGGGCTAGAATGGGCGCCAGGCCACAGACAGCTTGGAACACCAGTGAAAGAATTTAGGCTTTAACTGGGTAGCAATGAGGCACCACTGGGAAGTTTTTGAGTAGGAGAGAAAGTATAACCACAAGAAATACTGATTTCTGATAGAAAAAATTTCCTTCTACCAATAATCCCTATTTGTTGATTATACACAGCCTTAACAGTGCTCAATTATGCATTAATCTCTGTCTGCAAGAGAGAAAATGCAGCAAGCTCATTTAGGCCAATGCATCCAGACTGTGGGGAGTCCTAGAGAGACTGCTTGTTATTCCTGGTGTTCACGTAAAGACTCAACAATGCCAGTTACCAAGGTACTTTTAATTTAGAAAGAGGGACAGAGATGGCACAGCTGTCACTGAAAAGGGGCAGCAAGCACAGTGAAGAACAGAAAGTGTGTTATGGGAGCCCAGGGATGGTGGCTTCAGGGAAGACAAGGCAGTGGCACCCTCCGGCTCTTTTCTACCCTCCTTGCTGCAAGTCCACCCAGTGGAGAAGTGACTCTATCTCCAGAAATGGAGACAGAGCACAAGGCGGCCTTGATTTCGCTATGAGTTCCACAGAATTCCAACATCACAAATCTTGATGGTATTTTCTCCAGTCATCTGTGCCATATCTACCTATAGTGGAAACGCATTGCAGTTGTATTTACTTTACTCCTAAGAGCTGGTTTTCAATTCAGAGAAGTACAAGATCTAAGGACTTTAGGGCCCAACACAACTGATTCAAATCAAGGCTCTGTCATTCTCTAGCTGTGTAGCCTTGAGCAAGTCTCAAAATTAAACCTTATTTTCCCACCTACAAAATGGTGATGATATTGCCTAACCCTGAATGTCAGAAATAATTTTTGTCAAGTACCTAGGCAATATACTAAGTATCCAGCACATAAATTGATATTTTTATCATCACAATGCTAAAAACTATTTAATGAATGCTTTCTCCACCAGATACTGTTCTAAGAGCTTCACGCAACAACCCTATAAGGCAGGTGTCATTATTATTCTCATCTTGCAACTACAGAAATTGAGGCCTCTGTACATATTATTCCTGGAAATTGCTGGCACCAGGCAATGACTATCATCAGATACAGATTCACAGGTAATTCCTGAATTTCTCCTTCTATCAATCATTAATTCCATAAATAGTTGGTGATGATGCCCTATTGTAAATCAGGCCCCAGAAATACAGGTACAAACTGACCAGTAACCTCTACAGTAAGTGCCATATGAGTCCGTGTATCACCAGTCCTTTAGTAATCAGGGTTAAAAATACCCTATAATAAACATGAAAACAATGATGTTTTATCTTAAAAATAAAGGCATTTACATAGCGCTTAATTTTAAATAACGTAGAAACCAAAGACTGAATTTCCTTGTTTCGGACTACGTGGTACCCTTGAAATCATTTACATGTAGTTCCTGGCTTTGAGCAGTTATTTTCATTCCAGATATGCCCCAGTGTTTTATAAGTGCTGCCCATGAGAAGCATTAATTTCTTTCCCTGAACCACTCATTGAGTGCACTTTGTGTGCAACTCTGCAGCAAAAAAAGGCATTGACAGAGAATGTGGCACCTGAACATGTAAAGGGGACGGGGACATAGCAGATACAATCCACTTTGCTCTGAAGCCTAAAGAGATACTGTTTTCCCAGCTTCTGCCTAGGTATCAGTAGGTGACCAACGGGGAAATAAACCACAAAAGGGAATAAAATGATTCTTCACCTCTAATTAAATACTAATGACCTAAACATTTTTGTGAGGATTAAATAAGATGGTTTATATCAAGGACTTAACAAAATTATGACTATATAATACACATGCATCAAGCTACTATTACTATTATTTTTATTTTTAAACAGTGATTTATCATGAGAGTCACGAAATTAAACACCAAAGCCAACCTTAAATAAGCCCTCATGATCTGGCTCCATTGAAATAGTAACTCAACTAACTACCTCCTCTAACTCCAACCAAAGACTAGGTAATTTTTAAAAATAAAGTATCATTCAAGGCATCTGGGTGGCTCAGGTTCCTGGGATGGAGCCCCACATAGGGCTCCCTGTTCAATGGGGAGTCTGCTTCTCTCTCTCCCTCTGCCTGCCACTCCCCCTGCTTGTTCTCTCAAATAAATAAATAAAATCTTTAAAAAATTTTAAAAATAAAGTATCACTCAGTATCACTCATTACTATAAATCTGACTAGTTTTAAGAGTAATTCTACCTATTATTAATAGCAAGAATAAGCTTTGATTAAGTTGGTATAAGGTACACTTAGAAACAAAACTATTCATTTTAATAGTTACTATCATATCTTAAGTTTCTTTAAAAATTCTATTCTTTCAAGTAGGTAAAACTTCCCATGATAATTCCATCCAATTATCAAATCTGTCCTTTAAGAACACCATAAAAATCATTAAATTGAATCCCAACTTATTAAACTGTGATAAATATTAATCCCTGGAATAACAATAGATTAAAGAAGATTTATTAGGATCTAGAACTTTTACTGCCAATAACTTCAATTGATTTTCAACTTCAGCAAAAAGGAACGTCTCATAAGGGTGAAAATTGTAGAAGAGTGAAAACTAAAAGAAATGTCATATATTTGATATTCAAGGTTTGTGACTGTTCTCTATCTTTGCCAGGAGATCACTATCACATGTGTGCATCTGGTCACAGATAGGAACTACTAAAAACTTTATCTTCCCAGATTGCTGGTCTAGCTGAAGTGGTCCTGACATCTTACCTATCTGTTAGTCCATACGCCAAATCGAGCATGTCATTCTCCTCATCAGTGATTGCTTCTAACTTCTCAAATATGTGCTCTTCAAAGATGAGGTGACAGGTAGAGCAAGCCAAGGTTCCCTCACATGCACCTACAAAAGCAACAAAAATTGAACACACTCTCCCCTACATTAAATACAATTCAAATCTAGTTTGAATTAGTCAAAGTGAAGTATCTCTAAATTTTAGAATCAGCATTAGCAAACAGAGATGATAGGACTTTGTTTCTGAATAATAATGAAACTTAGGGACAACGCCCCCCCCCCTTGCTCCCCTGCCTCCCGGCCCCCCTGCCTCGCTCGCACACACACACACACACACACACACAATTTGAAATCACTTTCACATATTCTCAAAAAGGTTCTAGGTTCGGTGCTGTGAAGGGAAACACAAAAATACACAATCCTAATATCAAAGAGTTTACAAGTCAATAAACTCAGGCATACACACATAACAATGTGTGCATTTTTAAACTTACACTGTAATGATTCATATAATAGCTATATACATTATTTACCTTTATTTTGGAGAGCTCAACACAATTTATGAAGCCTTGTGGTATATGACAGGAATCAGAAAGCAACCAAACATATATCTAAATCAAATATTCTCTCTCTCTCCTTCCTCAGAAACAAGACAGAATCAGGGCAGCCCGGGTGGCTCAGCGGTTTAGTGCCGCCTTAGGCCTAGGGCCTGATCCTGGAGACCTGGGATCGAGTCTCACATCAGGTTCCCTGCATGGGGCCTGCTTCTCTCTCGCCTGGGTCTCTGCCTCTCTCTCTCTCTCTCTCTGAGTATCTCTCATGAATAAATAAATAAAATCTTAAAAAAAAAAGAATCAAATAAGTCATTGCAAGAGTTACACTGGTTTTAAAATAATGAAATAAGAATATTCCTCCCACCCTATTTTTTTTAGGTTACTAATTTGACAGTTATTTACTGACAGTGCCTATTCTACACCAGGTACTGCAAAAAGGGAACTGAAAAGTCATCGAGTCCAACCACACCATGACTAGATCTGCTCTGCAACATCTCCATCCCAGGGGTCGGTCACCTAAGCCTCAGAAAGCTCACCGCTAAGCCGCCAGTTCTGCACTGGGCTTCTGCGGACACCTAATTCATTAATATACCATCACCTCATATATTTATCTTTTTTGTGTTTTTTTCTAGTGAAGACACTTCAGTTCTACTCTCTTAGCAAATGTCAGTTATACAACAAGGTGTTATCAGTTATAGTCACCATGTTACACATTAAATCCTCAGATCTTACTCATCTTACAGCTTTAAGTTTGTATCCTTTTACCAACCTCTCCCTATCCTCTCTCCCCCTGCCAGCAACTACTCTTCTATTGTTTCTTATTTTACTTTTTTAAAAGATTTTTATTTATTTATTCATGAGAGACACAGAGAGAGGCAGAGACATAGGCAGAGGGAGAAGCAGGCTCCATGCAGGGAGCCCGATGAGGAACTCAATCCCAGGACCCCAGGATGACGACTTGAGCTGAAGGCAGATGCTCAACCACTGGGACACCCAGGTGTCCCTCTTCTATTCTGTTTTTCTGTAACTTTTATTAACTGCTTATTTAGTGACTCTTCTAAACAGCAGCTTTACATACATTTGAGATTGCCCTTCCCTCTCCAGGCTGAGCTACTTCAAGTTTGTCTCACACAACAGCTAGAAATCTTAACCCCCAGCCTGGTTGAGCTTGTCGAAACTGGGCATCTAAAGGGGGATCTGACAAAACAGGATCATGGAGAATCATGTTCTGGTTAAATTCTGCCTGTAAAAGTTATTCTTGTTTTTTCCTCTTCATAATTTTTAAAGCCTCTACACAACTTTAAAAATTTCAGAGTCCTGGGCAGTCCAGGTGGCTCAGCGGATTAGTGCTGCCTTCGGCCCAGGGCGTGATCCTGGGGACCTGGGATCGAGTTCCTCATCGGGCTCCCTGCATGGAGCCTGCTTCTCCCTCTGCCTTGTGTCTCTGCCTCTCTCTCTCTCTCTGTGTGTCTCTCATGAATACATAAATTAAAAATCTTAAAAAAAAAATTCAGAGTCCTAGGTGTAACTTCAGTTTGATTTAGATTCTCTTTTGGTCAATAGACAATACATAAAATACTTAACTATTATCAATAACTAATTATCTGCTTAATTATCCTCTGCATGAATTATTTTGATAAGAGTTGTTTCTTCATAATTTAAATATTTGTTATTCCCATTTTATTATCTAAAAAAATCAAAAAGGAAAAAGAGACTTCCTTCAATGTCCATTCTTTCTAAATCTAATTCAAAGCAGTAACAGGATGAAGTGGAGAGGGACCCTACAGTGAAGTACAGGAATTACAGATGGGCTCCAGAGCCAGACGCTCAGGCTTCAGTCCCTGCTCCTTTTTATGAACAGCATCACCCTGAGGTACGTTACCCTCCACACCTTGGCTCCCTCAGCAGTAGCTGCAGCAGCCTCACACGGTAGTTGCAAAAATTACGTATGAGAGTTTACTTAACATGTGCATTTGCAACCATACCATATAGGTAGTAAGCCTGATACAAGTTTATTATTATTTATCATGTATTAATGTTATTGTTACATATCAATACTATTATTTGTAAGTTATAAAGAATCTTAAAATAATTCAACTTTTTCTTTTTTATTTTATTTTTTTTAAGATTTTATTTATTTATTCATGAGAGATACAAAAAGAGAGAGAGAGGCAGAGACACAGGCAGAGGGAAAAGCAGGTTCCATGCAGGGAGCCTGACATGGGACTTGATCCCAGGTCTCCAGGATCACGTCCTGGGCTGAAGGCAGTGTTAAACCGCTGAGCCACTTGGGCTGCCCTCAACTTTCTTTTTAAATACAACAGGAATCAAAGCCAAGAAGTTAAATGAATGAAGATCATACTGCTAGTTAAAGGTGAGTCATAGCTTCAGCTAAGTTTCCCACTATTGAAGATTACTAGTTCCTGCCACTCCATAATCTAAGTTACTGTACTTAAATATATCTAAACATATATAATAAATCTATACATAGAGATGCCTGGGTGGCTTAGTTGGTTGGGCATCCGACTCTTGGTTTCAGCTCAGGTCATGATCTCACAGTCCTGGGACTGAACCTCAAGTCAGGCTCTGTTAGGCTCCATGCTCTGCGTGGAGTCTGCTTGAGTTTCTCTCTCTCTCTGTCTTTCTTTCCTACATGCTGTCTCTCTCAAACGAGTACATTAAAAAAAATACACATATATGACATACAAATATATATACACATGTCAATTGATTTGAACAAGTAGCTGACCTATTTTTGTGCAAAGTCAAACATGTCACTCAAAAAGGTAAATGGATATATTTTACTTAAAGGGGGGGGCTTCATATGTATATCCTGCGTTCAAAAATTCCTGCACTAAAAGGAAAAATGTTCTAGTGTGACCTTGAAGACCTACCACACTGTCTCCTGTGTCCTAGGCAATTTCCTCATCTGTATAGTGACTAAGGCAGATGATCTTGAAGGCCTTGGGGCTCTGGTATTCTATGGCCCCACAGAGAAGAGCCACAATTCTCAATGGGCTCGTTCAGGATTGTTCAATAAACATATACTTCTCTCTCTTTTTTTGTTTTTTAACATTTTACTTATTTATTCATGAGAGACAGAGAGAGAGAGAGAGAGAGAGAGAGAGAGAGAGAGAGAGGCAGAGACACTGGCAGAGGGAGAAGCAGGCTCCATGCAGGGAGCCCGATGTGGGACTCGATCCTGGGTCTCCAGGATCACACCCTAGGCTGAAGGCGGAGCTAAACTGCTGAGCCACTGGGGCTGCCCCATATACTTCTCTTGATTCCTATTTTCACTCCACCAGTACCCAGTCAAGACAAACTCAACACCAAAATGGCAAATCCCTCAAGAGATTCTGTAGGACAAAAATCAGGAAATCCAGCCTCCCTTTGTCTTTAAAACGTAAGTCAAACAATCCTTGTAAGATGTCTCAAGCAACCTTCTTAATTTAAAGAGATTATCCTTCCCTTCAGAGTTCTGTTACTGAGAAAACCAAATCCTGACAACTGCAGGCCGTGTGAGACAGAACCCACATCTCTGGGTGAGATGGGGTGTGTGGAGGCTGCAGGAACAATGGATCTGATATGGAAGGTCTTCCCTATCCTCCTGAGGAGCTCCGACTTGTTCTGTACACCCAATATTCTCCACTTTGTCTCCTAAAACATTGGGTGGGTAACTCACATGCTCAGGTAGCCAACTGTCTCTCATGATGGGATGCCGCAGAGATGAGGGTGACTAGAGGGTTATGGACACCAGTCCCTTCAGCTGTCCTCTCCCAGATCCAGCCTGTGGAGAGGTGGTGCTTGTGAACCTCTGGGATGGGTTACAGGAAGCTGCTAAAGGATTCTGAGCAGGAAGGTGATGTGGCATGTTTTATTTTGGATAGATCTCACCTGTGGCTATGTATAAAGAATGATTTGAGATGAATAAGAAAGAAGCAAAAACCATGAGATTTTACCAGTAGAGAGCCAAGGAGAGACCCCCTCCCAGAAAGGGATTCAAAATAAGAATGTTCCAAATGGTGGAGAGAGAGCCAGAAAGGTGCGATGTGAGAAAAGCCCAGGGAAGAGGAGAGTGCATACAATATGGTCTCAATCATCGTGGAATGGAGAGAAAAGTTCATATGCCCAATAAATCCCTCTGGAAAAATTTAGGACATTCCTTTTTGCACCACCTGGTCATATGAAATGAAGAGTTACCATCCCTGTTCCAGCTCTTCATAATGCTTTCAACTCTCTTCCCTAGGAAACTTGAATTCTTTTAACCTTCTCATAAAGGTTTTATTTTCATTCTCTAGTATAATTTTCGTTGCCCTCTCAGGAAACTTGCTAACTGTTTCCACATCTTGCTTAAGTTGCCAAGCTCAGAGCTGAAGAGGATTCTAGTAAGGATTTGACAAATATTAAGTATATACAGAAGATTAACTTTTGGTTCCTACAAGCTAAGTTCCTATTATATATTCTAGTCCTGTATTTACTCTTTAAATCAATATGCTATGTTCATGATCACCCCTTATTTCATGGTCCCTTTCAAACTCTGTCTGCCATAAGCTG